GGCTGGCAGGCACACAAGACACTGTACACAGCCACAGGGGGTTGGGAACTAGTCTTTTTAAGTTACTATTTTCTGTGTACGTTTATATAGTTTTGAACCATACAGTTTTTTTTATCCACTCTAAAATGTAACTTAAATTGTATAGTTTTATATACAAAAATATTTTCAAGAGAAGGTTTTATGCAGCCCAGGCTGGGCCCTCAATATGTCGCTAAGGATGACTTTGGGCTTCTGATCCTGCCTACACCTCTTTTGAGTGCTGGAATAGTTACAGGCATGTGCCACAAAGTCCAGTTTGTAATTTAAAAAAATGCTAACTGCCACAATTAAGATTGGGCCTCAGGAAGGATCATTTCAGTCCTTACTATGTTTTGAATCACCTCCTCACTTCTTTTCCTTGGGTGCCTGGCAGGAGGAAGTTCCTACTGGCAGATGGGGACACAAAAGGAAGCCGAACTGCTGTTCAGCATTTCCCCGTTTGCACCTCTTGGCACCAGGGACAGTGAGATAGGTTCTGTGAAACCAGGTGCTGAACATCTCTGAGGTTACAAAGCACCACACGGCTATGGCGACAAACTCATTTCCTACCTATTGGTGTACTTATCCATCTAAATGCTTCATCCTCACCCATCACCTCTCACTTCTCCCAGTTAGGTAAGACTGGTTAGGAAGTTGGCTTTATCACATTCATTTTACTATGGAGGAAAACGAAGCCAAAAGGTGTAAATAAAAGCCCAGAGTGTTCTCCTCACTGGTGTGTGTGTGTGTGTGTGTGTGTGTGTGTGTGTGTGTGTGTGTTCCAAAGGCTACACCATGCTCAAACAATGTTAAGAGGGTTGAAAGTGGAGGGCTTAGGAATACAGGCTAAACACACTAAACACACATACTTTAAATTATCTAGCTGTTCACCATATTCCAGAAATAAGCAGTTCCACTTGGGCTTTTAGTTGAGGCCACATTCACTAACAATCATCCATTCATCTAAGTCCTAAGCTATTGGGTCCAGCCAGTGACTTCATCCCAATCAGCGCCTGTAATCACCCACAAGATCCATTCTTTCTGCCAGTCATCCTTTCAACCAATGGAGAATTTAGTCCCTCCCAATCAAAAGAGAGGTAGATGGCATATATTCTCCAATCACACAACAACTGCCAGATGAATCCAACCTCTGCCCTTTCACTGGAAAGGACCATTAGGAAGAACCAGAAGGGGACCTTTTTGGTGGGATGTAATGCCACAGTGATCTCTGGAGACCATTCTAGGGTATTCAAGCTCACTGAGGGAGCAATTTAAGGCTCAGCACAAGGTCTCCCCTCCCTCCTTTATTCCCAGGGTCAGGGCTGTCTGTGCGTATACAAGACAGAGTCTCTGAGAGCTGTTCTCTGTGTGTGACACATCCCAGCTTGCAGCCAGGTCACCTGTGAGAGGCATACCACAGGCTTATAGAGAAGAGTTTCAAGGGAGGTCCCTGCTCCTGGTGAGACAGGAAGGACTGGAGGCTGAGACCAAAGTCTCAGAGCCAAAAGCCCATCAAAGGGGCTCAGATATGCCCCATTATATAATGAGTGCCACCTGAGTTCATGGCCCAAGTCAGTCAGCAAATATTTTGTTGTTGTTGTCTTAGACAGGGTCTCTCTATGTGGCCCTGGCTGTCCTAGAGCTCCCTATGTAGACCAGGCTAGCCTCGAACTCAGAGATCCACCTGCCTCTGCCTCTTGAGTGCTGAGATCAAAGGTGTGCACCTGGCCCCAGTCAACAATGTTAAGGCAGAACCGGAAGAGGCTAGAGGAGCTGTGAGAACTGTCTGAAAAATCTCTAAAATTTTGTTTCTGCCTTTCCTGGTCATAGGGGATTACCGGATCCAACAAGTGAAAGGAGTCATCAAATTTAGCCAAGACTATGAAGTGACATGCATGGTTCAGGGACAGGCTGAGCTGTGGAGGTGAGCCAAGTCTGACCTCATGTTCACTGCCATGTCTCAGGGTCTCAGGGCTGACCATGTGGGGGCAGAGGAGGCACAATACAGAAAGGATGAAGGAAATCCTGCTGTGCACTTTCCACCAAAGAGCCCAGTGCACTGGGTCTTCCAAACTCCTTGAAAATTCAATGGGTGAAAATTCAGGTAGTAGCAGCCAGTCACCCCAGCCTCTTGGTGGGGACATGCATGGAGAGGGCAGAGACAAAAGCTGAGCAGTCAACACAGTACTGTCAGAGACCACAGAACTCCTGGGCCACCTCCTGCAGCCCAGTCACTGTACTGGGAAGAACCAGGGGAAGCAGGAAGCAGGGCCTGAGACAGACAGGGGCTATGCAAACTCACACAGGAACCAGGGACTGACCCCACAGCCTTTTCTTCTCCACCAGGAGAGACAGGCAGGATAAATGTGGGAAACAGTCCAATTTACATGAAAAAGAAGAGGGGGGAACTGGAGACTGAACAGTGAAATTTCTGGTGGAAGACACTTCAATTCTCCCCACCTCCACCCCAAAAGAAAAGAAAAGAAAAAACTCAAACAGACCCAGTATATCAGAACTAGGCATACTGATGCACTCTGTTCATCCTAGGCCTTGAGACAGAAGCAGGTAGATCTCTGCAAGTTCAAGGCCAGCCTGGTCTATCTGGCAAATTTCAGACCAGCCGTAGCTACACAGTAAGCCCTCATCTCAAGAAACAAAACAAAAAGAGTAAGCAACAGAACTAGGCACAGAAGCTCATGATTATAGTCCTAGTACTCAGAAGGCTGAGGCAGGAGGATCATCATGAGTTCAAGACCAGTCTCTGCTACAGACCTTATCTTTTAAAAAAAGGGGAGGGGGGCTTCAAACCAATGTGGGCCATAAGGCAGTGTGTTTCCTCTGTCCTCAATGCAATCTGGGCCAGCCTCGGGAAAGGAGTAAAGGGAAGAAAGTGTCCTCTTTCCTAGGCAGCACTTGACCGACACTAGCAAATCCAGACCCACTACAGGCACTGTAGCACGCAGGGACACAACCTCACTTCCAGGCACACACAGCAGCTGAGGCGCTCCACTCCACTTCCAGGCTGGAACCAGGGAGGAGAGAGGGAGCCCCAACCCATGGTAGCAACAGCGCAGAAGAAAGAAGCAAGACAGATTTGAGATAGAGTGTATTGAGAACAGGACAGAACCAAGTGGCAAAGAGCTCAGCCTGGTGGCAAGAGCTGCAGGATGGAGGAGGGGCTCCCCCACTGCCACCCCTACCCCCACCCCAGGTTCAAAAGAGCAGGGTCTGTTCTGGGAAGACCTGGCCTGAAGGAGCCGCGCTCACTCACAGTTCCCACATGCATCCCTTCTTCTGTGTGGATGAGCTCACTGACAAGGCACCCCTGTTCCCATGGAGACAAGCCCAAAGCTCATGAAAACTGCGCACTCAGCCCAGCACGGGCACCGCCTCCACCACCCCTGCCCCTCTGGGAGCCCAGAAATAGGGCTGGGGAAGAGGAATAGCCCCGAGTCTTGGGCAGATTCCATCTAAATGTGTCTTCTTGTGTCTCTGTATTCTCTCGCCCCCAACAACGACTAGTTCTAGGGGAAGGGGGGTGGGATGGGTGTTGTGTCACATCAAAGGGAAGCAGGGCGTGGAGGTCTCAGACTACATGACTTTACACCCTCTGCATGAATGGGGAAACTGAGGCCCGAGGTGTGCACTCAGTTTGTCAGAACCCATGTCTAAGTCCAAGGCTTTTTTTTTTCCCCCTCAAAGTTCTAGAGTCTATTCTGTCCCTCTCTTCTGAGCTGTGCCATGTTTCCACTGTCACCAGCTGATCCCAAGCTTAAGCTGGCCCAGCCCAGGCTTCCGACTGTGGTTTGCTGCAGCCGCTCATTCTGACTGTACCTCACCAGGCCATTGGAAAACTAGTTCCTGCGTCCTGCAGCATCAGCCCATCCTTTCTACATGACAGTTCCCTCGCCTCCAAGACCTGTATCCCACTGCACCAGCCTCATCTCTCAATCTTCAAAGGTTGTCACAACTGGAAGACCCTGTGTACATGGGAAAACTATGACCCGGAAAAGAAAAGTGAATTGGCCAAAGTCACCCAGCAAAATGGGAAGTGTGAGTGAGTCTAGAACACTTCTCCATTGCCTCTCCTGGCCCCATGCTGTCGCACTGAGATGGCTTATTTCGATCAGGGAGACCTTGGCTGAGGTTACTGTATCACTAAAGGGTCACTCTCCTAACAGCATACCCATATCTGCATAGCCCTCTAAATGACATTCTTCTCAGGGATTCCCTGGGATGTCCCCTCACCCCAGAAGAGTGAGGGCAAGGCAGTTGGAAGCAGGACTGAGGTCTGGGCCCAGGAGTTTCCCTCCCTGCATAGAGTCAGGTCCCGGAGAGGGCATGGAGGCAGCAGAGTCTCAGAGAGCAGGAAGACAAGCATCAGCAAACAGTGATGTGTTAAGTCCACAGGTAGCAGAGGGCTCAGGAGAGGAGGTGGAGCCAGGCAAAGCTCTCTGAGGTGGTAGAGAGGAAATGTCCAGAAGGCAGAGGGGAAGAAACACCCTGTGAAGGTGAGAATCCAGAAGCAGGAAACCAGATGCCAGGAGCTGAGCCCTATGAGTAAGGCACACTCAGTACTTGCAGATTCACGGGTGCCAGAAAGGCTGTCTGTTCCGGAAGTCCCCATGAAGACCCCTCTGGGCCTTCTCCCAGCAAGACACCGTCATCAGACTCCCATCCCTGAAGCTTGCAGGGCCAGGGGAAGATTCTCTGCTTATCAGGACCCTCTGTGGGTATTCTCTCTCCATGACCCTCTTCACCACCCAGATATGGAGTCTAAACCCCTTTGTCTACAGCTCAGACAGGAGAGATGGTCCACCCAGGGTCACATAGCTAGCTGTTGGCAATGCCAGACCTTAATCCATGGGTGCCTATCTTCCTCACTGAGCCCTGAGCCACATCCTGCCACATCTGACCCACAGAGAAGGGGGCAAGACAGGCACTGGGATGTGTTACTTGAAGCAGTAAGAAGGCTTCCACACCTGGGCCTCGATTCCAGCATTCCTGGTAGAGAAGGAAGGCCTGGGGGCCTGCTTGGCTCGAGGAGACCATGCCCTGGAGGGAGACACGGGGGAGATGTCACTGCTATAGGTGGGGCTCACAGCGGTGGGCTGGAGACTGTCCTGGACAGGGGCAGTGTAGAGGCCTGGGGAGGAGCGGGAAGGCCGAGGCAGAGCAGGAGATGGTGGGAGGCCTGCCCTAGGCAGGTTGGGCACCAGGTCCAGGGAGCTAGGCTTGGCTGGGGAGGCAGCACGAGGTGAGACAGTGCGTGACGGAGTGCGTGATGAGGTGGTACGTGATGAGGCTTTGGCAGGTTCCTTGACGGGAGACAGAGCATAGAGTGAAGGCCTCATCTGGTATGGCTGCTGCTTGGTAGGCTCTGGGCGCAGGACCCCATTCTCCGGCAGATAGCCGTGGTAGAGAGAGGCAGTTGGAGTCCGCGCTGGACTTAGGGATGCCACTCGGAAGCCCCCAGGGGCATTTGTGGAGTACTTCCAGGATGAAGGCAGGGACATAGTAGGTGAAGGGCAGCGGGCCAATTCAGCATGGCCTGAAGACTCTATGACGTATTTCTCCATCCGTGACTGGCGGCGGGCATAGAGCTCAGCCCCCTTCCCTGAGGCCTCCGAGAGGTTCTGGTTGGGTTTGGGCTTCGGCTTGGCCTGGATACGGGGTGACTTGAGGCAGGAGGCCCACTCGGGGACAGTTTCCTCAGTGGCTGAAGGGCTGGCCCTGTCCCCAGCCACTGGCTCCTGCTGGAAGTTGGAGGCCTCAGCTCCCAGGGCAAAGGGCTCTTCTTCCATGCCCACCTCCCCATGGTCTCTCTGCCTCCGCTTCTCATCAGCTGTCTGCACTAGGTCCAGCAAGTCTGGATTCGGGGTCACCTTGGGCTTCTCCACGAAAGTGAACATTGATTTCCGGCTGCTTCGGCGGGCCATAGACTCTTCCAAAATGCCTGTCTTGTTGGTAGGGACTACCTGGCTCTTCAGATGAGGCGGCTTGGGGTCAGAGCTGGGGTATAGGGTAGGGGAAGAGGGAGGAGACCTAACCTGGGAAGCCACAGGGGCTGTTGACAAAGTCTCAGCATAGGTAGGGGGTGGGGTGAAGCTTCCTAAGGGGCGTCTCTCCAGGACTGGCCTTCACTGCCCAACCAGCCTCCTTTCTACCATGGGGCTGCGGGACATTATGTGCCTTTGTGGCTGGGGACTTCTATCCACCACGGTGGTAGCCGGGGGAGCCCAGGCCTTCTCTCCAAAATGTCGTCTTCCCATCATAGGACTCTGCTCTATCTGGCTGGTACTCCCTGGAGACTGGATCCCATAAGGCCTGGCCGTCCTGTTGACCACTGATGCAGGCTTGGCTATGGGGGGGAGGAATTTCCCTTTCCC